TGGTGCAAACTACAGCTCCCAGAATTCCATAGCAATATTTTTTTTAGCAGCATCAGTATTGAGATGATGGTGAAGGAAGTCTTGGAAAATGAAGACTTGGAGGCTGTGACTGCGCTTCAGAAATAATCCGGGTTGACACCACAGTTCCCAAAATTCCATGACATTGAGCCATGGCAGTTAAAGTGGTGTCAAACTGGATTATTTCTGCATTGTGGGTGCAGTTCAGGGAGAAAGTTTGTCCCCCCAGGGAACAAGCCACATGTATAGAGCGGCATGCTGTGTTGGGTAATGCATGCAGGCTTGGAAAAATCAAACCATGGACTAAAATGGGCTACAATAGAGAGGTGTCTGTTCAAAACTGGAAATTGATAACTCTTAGCATTTCTAACCCTTTAAAAAATGGACTGGAAGAAGAGTATTATTTAAATTATTATGGAAATGTACTGGACTATATTACCCACCCAGCTCTGACAACTTTTTCCTAGTTAATAGTAATAGATATAGAAAGAAGAGATTGTGATGTGTACAACTGTGAAAATGGCATACACTTATATTCTCAGAAATGACACCATAAAGATAGGGGAGATTTCAGAAGATTCAAAAATTGCTTTATTGGATTGTATATACAGAGAGGGGGAATTAAAGACAGGAGACCTTTCAGAAGATTCAGAAATTACCTTATTGGATGGCATATATGGAGAAGGGAAATTAAAATATATGCTTCTATCTTTTTCCTCCCCCCAATTTATAATATGAGATTCAAAAATCATGATTTTTTTTTAAAAAGTAAGAACATTAAAAAAGAAGGCTGAATCACTTTATAGCTGATATGATACTGGATTTAATCTTATATATTCCAATCATGCCAAGTGGTCTAAATAGGTTTTGGCTTAACTTTATTTGTTGAAACAGAGTGGATATGAATCTATTACATAAGAGAGATACGTAAAAATGAATCTATAAATGTAATCCTGTGATTTATAGTTGCAATAAAACAGGAATCTGAACAGGATTGGTTCATTTTGGTTTTTTAAAAATAAAAAAATTAAAGCCAGAGTAAGAACGACTGCCCTAAAACATAATTAAGTAGATCATAATAAACTTTTATAAAGTCTCTCCAGATAGGCACCCATGCAACACAGATGGATAAAACCCTGATTACTTGAGAATCTTGGCTTAGCTTGTTTTTGAGGGAAAACCTCATCGAAACTAGAATATCAAGATCACATCCACATAATTTTTTAAAATAGATAACTATAGATAACATTTGTTTCCTTGAATGCATTGAGTGTGAGAGAGTAGAATGCACCATTCCTGCTCCCGACCTCCATGCATATAGCTCAGTGTATGCAGAAAACCTATGCACAAAGAAGTATAGATCTGTCATGTTTCTTCTGTATTATGAGGAACATGGAAAATGAAGAGAATGAAGAAAAGCACATGGGGAAAAGCCCTGGATGCATATAGTTGCCCATGCTTAGTGTGTCCGTAAATATTAAGATGAACACAGAGGAAGGGGTACATGATCCTTGTATTATGTGGAAATAACTTTTCACTTGGACTGGAAAAGTGTTGGTTTGGGTGTTGGTGGCATATTCATTCAACCCTCAGTCCTGTGCATTGATGTATAGTTTCCTTTTTCTGTGTTGGGTCATGCATTCACTCTTGGAAAAACTGTTGCTCAGTGCTGTCAGCTCTGGCAGCTCCACTCTCTTTTTCTGTGGGATGCTGGAATAACATTCATACCCTCCTTCCAAACCTAATAAGTCATTGCTGTTATCTGTGCAGACAGCTCCAGTCAGTTGGTTAGAGAGCTGTGATGCCTAGAGAAATCTAGACAGGACTGCAAAAGTTGTAGAAATCTGAAGGCAGGGTATGCCTTTTCTCCTAATCTAAAGTGTGTGTAGCTACAGGTTTGGTCCAACACAATTTTCCACATACACCCTACAGCAGTGCAAGTGCATAGTATCCAGGGCAAGTTCATAGAATCATAGAATTATAGAGTTGGAAGAGACCACAAGGGC